GACTGAATCCATCTCTTGTAATTAGAAACCCGACTTCAGGAGTTCAGCATGGGTGGGAATAAAACACCTAAAGTAAATAACACCTACCCTGTCTCTTGGGGCATTTTTATGTGCGCTCCGGGAAACATGGGGGGGGGGGGGAGGGGAGGGTGGCATTTTAATTAGCGAACACTTAATTAAAAGCGCCCGAGTGTCACATGTATCAGTGTCCTCTGCGCTGAAAAATGGTGGTGGACGCTTTGAACTAAAGCCAAAATCTGTGCACCTAGCCAGTTCTGCATAAATATCAAGACTGAGATGAGAGCTGCTCTAGCCAAGCATGACTGCTAAGCAAGAAGTGATTGCTCAAGCCCTTGGGGACTAGCACGTAAAAATGTTAATAATTAAAAACGTGTTTTTAACCTATGGTCAACAAAAATGAGGTAGACAATGGAAGGGTAGAAAAGGCTTGTTAAAGTTTAAACATTTCTAGTAATTCTGACGTAACTTACCAGTGACGTTCCTATCCAAAGGTTTTTTCTCATATCCCAAAGCAGAGACAGGTAGTTAGTCATGTTAGTGGATTACGTTTTCTGACCCCCCACTTTATTCCTGTGTGTTCTTTGCTTGCTTACCTCTTCCAGCACCAACCCCCCTCCTCCCTTCTGCTTTCCTCCTCTGCCTGCCTTTTGTATCCAAATCACTCTCTCCATTCTATATACTGCTCCTTTCAGAGCATCTGATGGAGTGAGCTCCAGCTCACAAAAGCTTATGCATCTCTGATTTAGTTATAGTGTGCATCTCTATAAGACACCTTCCGTCTTATACCCAAGATGCATTCATTCTCTTTCAATCCCGGGAACACAGAGCTGGAAGGGGGCTCCCAGGCTGAAGTTTGGTTCCTTGTGTTTGCAGGTAATTGTTAAGTCATAGATCTTTGTTTTATTAGTGTTGAATTTGTGTAAATTCATTGCTGTCTTCAGTATTAGCCTTTGGTAATTGTAGTTTATATTCTGTTTTATAACATTGCCACTTAGCATCAGGTTTTTTAGCTAACTGAATTAAGTTCCACATTCTCATTTGTCATATACTCAGCTGACCTCCTTTGAACATTTTTTTTTGATTTTTAAAATCAGACTGAAGTTGTTTACAATCAGTGAATAGCTATTATACTTCTGTCTTACTGGTGAAAAAAATATAATCAGTCTTAAAATGATTTACAAGCCAGCAGAGATTAAGAAACAGCAATTTCAATAAAACACTTCCATATTTTAATACAAGCAACTATATTCATAATAAAGGGCTCATCACATGAACTTTTAGAATGCTGTGCTAAACAACAGGAATGCTAAATCTTTGTGAATCACAAGATCTAGTAAACATTGCTCATTCAGTGCACAATAATGAATGCATTATACTTAGCTTTATTGTCTTGATTCTTAAGGCTACTTTGTTTTCCATTTTGATTTCTGGATGCAGATATATTCAAATTTTGCAGGTGTTTCGCTAAATTTTCTGAGTCCAAATTGAGCCTTTAAAGCCCCCAAAATTTACTAAGGAAACTATTTCTCTTCCCAGATTATATATGAATTTAATAGTTATTTCTAACTAGAGACCTAGGATTAGAAAATTCTAGAAAGCAATATACAATGACAATGTTTGGTATGCAAGTAACAAACAGGGCTGTGCAAAGCTTCGAATACCGATTCGATTCGGAAGAGATTTGGCCTGATTTGGTGGACGAATCTCCAAATCTGAATCAAATCAGAGGACCAATTAAAAGGTCTGAAACAATTTGAATCAAATCGATTCGGAAAATATTTGGAAAGCTTCGGCAATTCAGGCAGTCCCCGCTGGCTGTAGCAGGGAGCTGGACCCAGTAAGTAGGGGGCAGGGGTGGGGAGGATAGAGAAGGGGACCATGGGGGACCCACACCAGGCCCCATCCCTGCCTGCTCCCCTGGCCCTCGCGAGCCCCTCGACCCCTGCCAGTCCCCCGTATGGCTGCCCTACCCATCCAAGCTCCTGGTTGTTTTTTTAAAAAAAAAAAAGCCCGGGTTCACCAGGTGCTGCCAGGCGGGGGGGCGGCGATCCCCGCTGCCCCATGCCATGTGGAAGGCTCTGTTACAAGCCACACAACCCATGACTGCTCTGCCTGCCCCAGCTCCCGGCCCTTTAAAAAAACCCCCAAAAGAAAAAAACACTGGCCTCACTGGCTGCTGCAGCAGCTGTAGGGCTTCTGGGGGCTTGTGACAGAGCCATCCAGGTGACATGGAGCAGCAGGAGGCAGCGGGGATCGCCCCCTAGCCTGGCAGGAACCGATGAGTATGGGCTTTTTTTCCCCAAAGAGCCAGGAGCTGGGGCCAGGGGGGGCAGGGGGTAGCCATTGAGAGCGGGCAGGGGATGGGGCCCGAGCGATTCAAAGATTCAGCTGATTTGGCAGTAGCCGAATCTCCGAATCAGATCTGGCTGAACTGATTCAGGACAGCGATTTGAATCACCGAATCCGAAGCAAATACTGGCCACTTCGCACAGGCCTAGTAACAAATCACGTATAGATTAACTGAGACAATGAACAGGCATTCATTTCTACCAGTTGAAATGCCTCAAAAATTTCTACTGGTAGAAATCTTTCCAGGAGAGGTATCTTCCAGATTTTCAGCTGCAGCCACCCTCTCTCCTCTGCCCTTCTTGCCTTCTCCCCAGGGGGGTGGGGGATAGGAGGGAAAGACTACTCACACCCTTCCCCCAGATTGAGATCTGGGAATATGCAAAGAGTCGCCTCCTCCACTTCACTCCTAGTGTCTAGGAGCAGAGTGGACAGAGCACTGGGGCAAAGCACCAGCCCATGCTCCAAGCCAGGCAGTGCCTAGTCAGGAGAAGAGACAGGGAACAGTAACAGCTGCTCCAGGAAGATGAACAGCTGACACTACTCCCTTCCCCTCCTGGACCAGTTTGGGAAGGGAGGACAGAAGCGAGGTAAACCCCCCTGCCTGTTCCCTCAACTAAGGACGCCAGTCTGGCAAGTTGGTGGGGAGCAGGAAATGGCTGCTCCTCCACTCTGCAATTGGTATCAGGGAGTGGAGCAGAGGGAACAGTGGGGCAACCTCCTCCCCTGGCTTCTTACTTTGGGGACTTTGGTATGAGAAGCAGGCAGGAAGCAGAGCTGCTTTCTGCTTGGCTCCTGGGCACCAGGAACCAAGTGGACTGACCCTACAACAAAATCCCTGCCTGCTTTACATACCTGGGACTCTGGTGTGTGGAGTAGGTGGGTGCTTTGCCCCACTATCCTGGGGAGTACCATTCTAAGCATGGTCCCTAGCCCCACCAGCTTGTAAACTGCTACCCCTGCCATCCAACTGGCAGGTGCAGGGGACAAGAGGAAGCTGGCAAGGATGGCAAAGCTCCTTGGCTCTTTCTGCAACCAGGGACTTCCTAGTTTGGAGAAGAGGCAGGGAGCACTGGTTGCTACTCCCCTCACCTCTAGGACTGGTCTGGGAGGAAAGTGAAGCAGCAAGGCAAAGAACCCAGCCTGCTTCCCACTCTTGGGACTCTAGTGTGAGAAGCAGGCAGCAGGCTTGCAGCACTGTTGCCTCTTCTCGGCTCCTGGTGCCTCAGAGCTGAGTGGATGGAGCAGCACCACAAAGTCCCCTGTGTCCTTCTCACACCAGAGTCCCCAGAGTGTGAGGAACTGGCCAGGGGAACCTGGAGGTTATTCCTCTTCTCTCCTCCCCTCTCCCCTCAGTCTGTGGAAGGGGTTGGACCAGCTGCCCCTCCCCGTGCACCTTCTCCAGACTGGGGTGAGCCTGGTCTTATGAAAGAGTTGTCTTTCCCCCTACTGTTCCCTGGGAGGAGTTAAGCTGGGAAAAAAAAAAAGTGTACAATGTTCATTCTTCCAGGAGAAACTCTCCCGGGACCAGCTTCTCCTGGGTTTTTTAGTGCAAGAGAAAGAGTGCGAATGTCTGTACACTTTTGTTTTCTTCCAGAATAGTGATTCTCCCAGTAGGAACTGAGCATTTGTATGTGGCCTGGAATTAAACTTATTATCCACCAGAATAACTGGAATAAGCATACTACGCAGACTTACCACTTTTGCATCTCATAGGCGAAAGAAACTGGAGTAAGGTAACAGTTCTTAGGATGCAACATTGATTTGGGTACCAGAACTATTTATAAAGATTAGGAATAACAATTACTGCTTCACAATGGTCATACTGGCAGGTGAATTAACTCCAAACCAAGATATAACTCCTTTCTCTGGGGTGCTTCTTCTTCAGAGACATACTGGAACAGAGCAGGTGTTGCAGCAGGAAGATTCTAAAGAGAATCAAGCTTGGGAAGACAGCCTTAGCCAAAACTGGTAGGGATTTTTTGAGAGTTATAACCGCATTTCTCTTCCTGTATTTGATTTTTATATATGAAACCTTGGAGTATTCCAGTAACTATGAAAAGAAGTTATATGGGAAGGCTGTAGGGCATAATTTTTTAGAAATTATCTAGTTTATATACTCAAGAACTTCATATACTAGGTTCCATAAGGCTGATTCGATAAGCCAATTATGGATTGTTCCAAGACTAAACAGGAGAACTTTTATAACCAAGTATCAGAATATACACTCATGCATTAAAATTAATCGCGCATTAAATTGAATGTCTAATAAAGAACGGGATTCACTAAGGCAGGTTAAAGGCTGTTGCCAGGAAAGAGAGTATGGACTATGCTTATTACTTTCAAAAGGAAGATAAAAAGAAGGAAGGGTTTAGAGGAAAGTAGAAACTGAAGTGCATCTTCGATTGGGAAATAGAAGGAGGAAAAAGCCTGGAGTCAGAAGGTTTCAAAAAGGTACAGAGAAGCTGTCAAAACTTTGGAGCAAATCTGAATAGTCTGACCATTCCTCTGAAGAGAATAAGACAAGAAATATACAACAAATACATGGTGTCTATTCTTTAAAAAAAAAAATATCAAAACTATTGTTGTTAAATTTACATTTTATATTCTGCACTTATCAGTAAAATCTATACCTTTGTTACGTGTCTGATAGAACCAAGTGCAAGGTTTCTAGGATGGTGTTTTATGCCACAAAGATCCCAAATGCGATCCAACACCAGTTCGCCTTCCTCCAGCACGCATTTCTGGCCTTGAAATCTTGGTTTCTCATATAAAATCCAGCTGTATTAACAAAACCATTAACACAGTTGTAACTATTATACTTAAAAGAACCACGACTGTAAAACACTCAGACTTAGAAAATTTCATGGACAGCTCTTTCCAAGAAGCCAAGTGTCAGTCCCTTTATGCACTGTCTCTAACTATTCATATTCCTCTTGTTAAAAATAGGAGTGTTGTACTTTAAAGCAGACATTTCTTCTCAGAGTTATAGGTCTGTCTAAAACATATTTGTATATCTTAGAAAGAAAAACTAGGGCAAAAAAGATGGTTAAAAAAAAATCATCACGCAGAAATCTGACAGGCAAAAACAAATGAAAAAGATAAATGCTGTATTTTCCTAGGTACAGATAAAATGAATGACAGATTAACGTGCATCCTACTCATCAAGATACAAGGTAATGGTAAAACATGCTCCAATAGCAAACAGTTAATAACACCGAGAACTAACAAATGCAGGAAAGAATGTATGGACTAATTTTTCATTGTATGAATATTATCATGCAGCTTTATTAGTTGCAGGAAATAAGTGACAAGATGACCTTACTTTAAGAAGTCTGTTCCTCCTCCCATTAAACTCTATGCTCTATAAAACTATCAATAGGTTCCCAGCTTCATCTTTTCATAGCATCTCATTGTAAATTATAAGTTTTACAAATGAATTATAGAAAGATTAATACAGTCTAGGTTACCCCACTTCTATGCTCCTTTTAATGTCATATTTCAAACAACAGCTGAGTGCATGTGTCTTGCAACTTGTTTCTCAACAGCTCTTTGTTAATTACATTAAACTGTGAAAAAAACCACTTCTAGCAGATGTACACTTCTAATAGTGGATATGGTGACATACCAAATTAGCATGCTAGGTTTTACATGCTAGACAAATATTTGAACTTAGTCTTGGTTCCAAAAAAAGAAACTTTTCTCTCTTTAAACTAGTTCCGAACATAGGAAATAGCTGTCATACTAAAAAAAAGTTTAACAGGGTTTTTTTCGCTTGTAAACTTTGCTGTAACTGTCAAATGAGGAGATGGTATCTTGCAAGCTACATGTATATCACAAATAGCAGACAGAGGTACAAGGCAACACATTTCCCCTTTAAGAAGAAGCTGTTTAAATAAGATATAATAATTTATTACCATCCTCTAATAATTCTAAGCAATGCTCCCACTGAAAGAGTCCAGGATGTGGCATCTAGTACATCTCGATAAATCTCTCGTTTACTTTTGTCCCCATGAACATCATAAATAATCATCTGAAACAAAGTACAATGCATATAAGTGAGGAACACCTCAATGGATGCATCAAGCTTCTATTTTTTGCTTAGAGTATGCAGTTTTGCATACACTATTCTAGCACATTTTCCCCTACTGAACTAATAGCATCCAACACAGAAATGAAGCAGGTTTTCCAAAGACTAGGATTTATTTTTTTACAACTCTAAATCATATTTAGCATGTGCAGGCATATACTGCATAGACACACCCAGATGTGATATAACATCAGTGCCTCCAATAAAAGTTTTTACCACTCTGAAACATTTATTGTAATTTAGTCCATGTTCCATAATAGCTCATGCAGTGAAAATGTTATACTTGCCTTTCCTGATCTTGGATTGCATTTGAGGTTCTTCCTGTTAATTAGATTCTGAAATTAAAAAGAGGTGGAAAATAGCTATTAAAAATGACAATAGGAGTACAAAGTGCAGGCTCAGTATTTTAAACCAATTATTCCTTTAAAACATGCTACTATAATTAGTAACGGCAACCAATACTTGCCTCACTATTATTCAAAGCTGGCTTTGGCATTTTCTTGCAGTAGGTCAAACAGTCCTCCAAAAAGAACTGCTAGCTGAAGAAAGTTTTCATGAAGTCAGCACCCAGACAACTACTTCCCCTCCCCCACAGCTACATCCTAGTTTTTTGGCCTTCTAGTTTAGGCCAGAAAACTATACATCTTAACTAGAAATAAAAACACTGATCACACAAGGACATTGCTTCTTTGGGTTGACACACTTTCTCCCAGACCCTCTGTTGTTTCCAAATATTACAAAATACAGACTTCCCACCTGATGTCTCCATAAATAAACTAAAACTGGATGGCTATTTTATTGAAACAACTAAATGGGAATGTATAGAAGTTTTTGTTATACAAGAATGGGAGGACCCACTAACCAACAAACTATATTTTCCAATAACAAAAGCTCCAATAACCTTAAAAAGCTGGGGGGGAGGGGGGGCAGGGAAGGAAATCAGTTTTTTCACCTACGAACAATTCTGTTCACCACCTCCTTAAACTCTTTGAGCCTTGCCCCCCTGATCTTCATGTTTAAATGTAATTAAAAAGAAAAGCAAATATACAGCTACTACTAAAAATATTTTCTGTTTATTTGCTGTTTTAATTTTAGAAGCTTTGGGTTCCCTTCTATGGTTATGAGCTGATCCTTAAAACAAAGTGCTTTATTTTTTTTTTAAAACTTTTAATTAGAGAACTTAATTGTCAGTAATCACAGGCATATATTATGCCCTAAAATTAAAAAAAAAAAATGAAATCAGACCATTCATTATGGTTTTAAAAAAGATGGTAATTACATCTCAGTTCATCATTTTGGTAATTACTGTTATATAACAACAAGAGATGTCTTACCTGTGGAAACGCTCCCAGCTTTGGTGAATTGTTATTTTGCCGCCAATGATCCTTAGGCAGCAAAGTTTCCCGCAGGATACTTCCAAATTTGACTTCCTTATTAGATGGATAATTGCTGGCTGTCTTGAAATATTGATAATAAACACTCCTAGTGTGAGGCTTATTATCAACATCAACCTGCTGTAGAAACTGTGTAGAACCCACTGGACTGGGGGGAGAAGGGTCTGAAAATGACTCTGACTGCTGCTCAGAGCCAAGTAGCTGTTTTGAAAGACAAAATAACGGTTTGGAAATTGGAGATCTTTCTGTGTCATTTGAGGTGTTCAGATTCCCTGTTTGTTGACTGAAAATACATTCTTCTTTCTGAACATCCATTATGTTTTCTTCATAAGAAGATTCTTCCTCCTCCTCTTCTTCCTCCTCCTCACTGAACTGATTGCTATATTTTAAGCGCTCAGAAACTGACTGGAGGAGAGACAATACAGATGAGTGGCATGCACTGTCTTGTGATGCACCAGTAGAATGTCCTCCAGGAGAAGCATCGGTGGACAGTAGGTCTTCTTGTGAGCTATCATCTTCATATATGGGAGACAAGGAGAAGGGGTAAACTCTATATCGCTTAGCCTCCACCGCCACAAATGTATCTGAAGTACAGTTATCAAATGAATTGTTTAATTTATTGTCTTTTTCATAGACAGGCTCACTGTTGTTCTTGGCTGTTTCACATGTTAGCTGATGCTGAATATGATCCAAGGGTAGATCAGTAGGAGAGAGCAAGTGAGTTTGCTTTTCATCTGTGGAACCATGCTGGTTTTCATCCTGAAGAGCACCTTCAGTCCATATAGTAAAGGAAGAACTGCTTTCCTGCTGTTCCTCTTGTGCAGTAAAGGCTAAGGAGTCTGTTGCTCCCTCAGTGTCACTGTCATGATTCAGGATCTTTTGAAGTGCACACTCTCTCTGAATGTCTTGATCCATCCTTAGGGCCAATTTCAGACTGTCGTCTGCAAGGGCAAAGTCTGAGCTGATAAAAGTTTTCCCTTCGATGTCCTTAATTACAGATGATTCAGATGCACCGAATTGTATATTTAATCTATTTTTATCTTGTGGGACCTCAATTACCTCTTCTATTTTTCCTGCTGTACTGTCAACTTTTGAATGCATGCTGGTTATTTTTTCCTGTGCAAATATAGAAACTGCCTTCCCTTTGCCACAGGGTTCAGGCAGGCATTTTCCTACACTAGTTTCAGACAGAACTGAATGACCACTTTCATCTTTGGATTTGCTGCGTATGTCTCTGTGCTCCCCATTATGTAGTAAGGGTGATGAATTAAAATTCAAGTTTGGTATTGAGGTACATCTGGACATACTTGTATCATTGCATAAGCCTTTTGAACTTATTAGTAGCAATTTCTCTTCAATCCTCACAGGATCTCTATTATATGAATGTGTAGTCTCCTTTGACATATCATTAATTGTCCAAATGCAAGTTTTGTTATACGTCTCTGTCATAAGATTACTGTCACATAATGTATTAGTGTTTTGAGCTTTATCAATTATTGCAAGGTCAGATTCAAGCCCTGGTAAGTCATTGGAAGGCAGAAGACCAATCTTTTGACATAAACTGACATGATTTGATACCATTTCCCTTTCTATAGCCTCATCATTCCTATTTTCTTTATTGCTTAGAGATGAAGGAACTGAATAGCAGCCTGCTTTTTCACTGTCCCTGGTTACATTTTGGGTCACTCCCTTGCCTGTTTGATTTAAACCCAAGGGACCATCAATTACTTCTTGTGCTTTCTCTGCTAAACCTTTAGCAGTATTTAGAGATTGTACGATTTCAGTCTTAGGTTGAAGTACAGTACTTTTAGGAAGGCTCCCACTTTTAGCACTCTCACACTGATTTGACATCAGTTTTTGTTTGGCCGAGTGTATAGCTTCATCAATTATTTCTTTTGCTTTTAGTACTATTGAACTATGTAGGTTAATTTTATCAGTGAGGTTAAACAGCATCTTTTCATCTTGGGTACTTGTATCAACTGTTTCTTTGCCTTTCCCTTCAGATGATCTTTGTGTACAGCTCTCATTAAAATGTCTTAATGATTGCTTTGCTGACTGGCCTTCCTGGCCTTCCAATTGTATCTTTCCAGTTATCTGTTCTTTTAGAAAGCCTAGCTTTGTTAAACAATCCTGGTGAACACCAGCTGCTTGTTTTGATCTTATTTCTTCTATGGCAAAGTGCAAAATGGCATGAACAATTTCCTCAGCTTTTTTAAACAAAATGGTAGCATCCCGAGATTCAGCATCCAACTGCTTCCACATTTCTGCATCTTTTAATATTCCTCCAGAACTCAGAGTGTTCGATTCTGTACATGAAACAGTGGGTTCATCATTCATTTTAGTAAGGTTCTTGGATACAGAAGGAGGAGGATTGTAAAGATCCCCATGCTCTACAGGAGTTCTGTTCACATCCTTTTCATATTCTGCATTGGACACCACTTCCACGGATTCCAAAGGAGGGCTACTTGATGTTAGGGGCTTGGCTGACCAAGCATCTTTGAACCTCTGTGCATGAAGTACATTATCTGCTTCATCAGACTTTGCATGTCGAGAAGAAATCTTGCCACTGATACCTTCAGACTTAATGATGGGGAAATGATTCTTGTCCAAAACATCTGTTGTTTCAGAGGTAGTGGGAGGAAGCGTGAAGATTTCCTTAGACCTCAGAACAGGAAAAGCAGGCTTGGAAATGCAAAAATCTTTTGATTTAGGAACAGAAGGGTCAAGTTTACCTGTAATGGCATCAGGTTCCAGGAAGGGAAATATAGACTTAGCCTTGATATCTTCAGAGCAAAGTGAAATCTTAGTTATGTTGACCATTGCACTTTCAGAAGCATCAGAAATAACTGGAGGTGCATTTTTTAAAAAAGATGACACCACCTCAGGTGAATTACCTCCAGGCTTAGCAGCAGGAAAAGCACATGTGGAATCAGCAGCCCCTTCAGATAGAACAGATAATGTGGCAATTCCAACATGTTCAGATTTAGAGACAGGAAAAGGTATTGTGCCCTGACTGGCATCAGTACAATTACCTATAGCCGCTGTCAGCTTAGATTTATTACTATTTGCACGTGTAGCAGGCATCCTCACACTGCTGTCTTCAGAGAGAGAAGAATGGCTGGTCAAGGTACTTTGTCCAGGCTCCAGGGCAGGATAAGAAACCTGAAAAAAGCTGATCTCTGCAGATTTAGGAGCATGAGGAAAAAACCTAGTGAAGCAGTCTTCTTGAGAGGCAGCAGGAGAGCTCGTGGTTGTACAAGAACTTGCAGTTTTAGGATCAGCAGAAACAAGATAATCTATTCTATTCTCTCTAGTTTCGTGGGTCTGAGGAACGCTCTTGGTCATGTTGTACTCTGCAGATGAAACTGCTATTTTACCAAGAGTGACTTCATCCATTTTAAGGGAAGGGATAGTACAATTAACCATTCTGCCAGGAGGTACATGGTGGGGGAGGCTCATCTCTGCACATCTAAGGGGCTTGTTCTTTTCATATTCAAGATCAGGGGAGGAAATGTTTGAGGTAAAATCTTGTGAAGTGATTATTTTAGTCATGGTTTCAACTTCATATGCATAGTTTGATGAACAATCATTAACTGAATGGCCATCTGCCTCAAGAACTGAAGGGGTAGGTGTGTTGTTCTTGCCAAAGTTAGCATCTTCAGATTCTAAGAAAGGTGTCGTATCAGCTTTCACAGTTTCACATTCAAGGGCTGGTGGAGATGTGTGAGCAATATTTACCTCTGCAAATTCAGGCAGAACTTTAGTTGTTTCAAAACCCTGAGATTCAAAAGAAGGCTTGGAAGTGTTCTCTGTGGTTATATCCCTGGGACTACCCTCAAAAGTCACTGAGAGATCATTTTGTGCTAGCACCGGAATCTTGGACTTACTGAACTCACTGATACTGTCCCTCCTGTCCAAGTCTGAATCTTGAGCACATTCATCAGATGGCCCCGAAGCAGACAGATTACCTCTGTTTGATTGTACATCATGCAAAGCCTCCAATAACTTTCCTGTAGACATCTGTTGGTTTAAAGGTAAATCAAGACTAGCAGGAAAAAATTGCGAGGTTTTCTGCCCTTCTTCAACTTCCACTTCAGTTTGTATGGCACACATCTTTTGACCACCATCTTTATTTGCATTTTCTGCATGCTTAAATACTTGGTATTGAAAGATAGTACTACTGGAATGAGACACCTGCTCATCCAATTTTGGCTCTGACTGATTATCAATCTGATTATGACAGGAACATTCACCCTCTTCTTTATCAATTGGCTCTTTCTTTGGTTTAGGTGAAAGCTCACAGTCATTTTGCAATATCTCCTTAGATTCCTCATTAGAAATTTGATCACAAGAATTTCTGCCTTTGAAGCTAAATATGGCTTCATTTTCTGATTGAAACTGAGTTTTTATTTCTTCTAATGTTATTTCTCCCTTTTCAACCAATTTGTTTGCAGAAGTCTTTTTATTAGAGTCTGTAGCCTGGGAATTAGTGTTGGCTGGGAGCTCAGTGTTACTCCTGGATGACAGCACTCCAGCTAACAAATGAGTTTGATGAGCATTGAGTGTGTCAGAAACTGGTGCGGAATTTAAAGAAACTAACAGATCTAATTCTCCAATGTGATTCCCTGCTGGTGTCCATTTCAGTGGGACAGGCAAGCTTGGCTGCAGTTATTCCATGAATACTGCTGTCTAAGACATCCTTAACAGCACCAGTTTTCTTCTGTTCTATTTTAACCACAAAAGGGTTTGTTCTACCATCATCTTTGCTGTCTTTAGCGTGATCAGTTTGATTTTCTTTTAATACATGGTCTGAAGTTTCTGTTTTTATGGTGGATGGTGAGTTTCGAGGGATGGAAGTCTGGATTTCTCCATTTTCAATCACAGTGAAATTATTTTTGCTCTCAGTACTTTTCTCCCTTATTTGTTCTCCTTGGTTCTTTAGTAGCTGCCTAATCCGTGCAGAACCCCGATATGTTGCATATGTAACAGCAGGTGGATCCAGCTTACATTCAGTTTGCCTGCAACAAAAATGGTCATTATTAGTACACTAGTAGAATGCTGAAATAACCAAAATAATCAAAGTGCAGTTTGGTGAAAACAAAGCTTTTCCCCTGCCATCCATCCCCCTCACACTTACTAATTCACACAATACAAAATAACATATGATATTACTTTTTATTGTAGAAAAACTTGTACACTGACAAACATGCATCAAAGATTTCCTCTATACTAAGCAGAATCACTGTATATGGGTACCCTGCAAACACATTCTATTAGGAAGCAATACTATTAAAATGGTCCACAAAGGGTACTCAAAAATAAATAATCTTTATCTGAAAATGTTTTACCTTACTAACATTAATTATAAAATCTAGTATCCCTACAACTTTAAAAAACAAGAGAAAACTACTGTGTTTGCTTGGACCTGGTAGCTCATACAAAGCAATAATGAGAGCTAAAAAACATATACAGGAATAAAGTTGTATAATCCTTTCTGGACTAAAAATAGAATATAGAAAGGATGAGAGAGAAACAAGAAAAAAAACCCAGTGAATAGAGACAGACAAGGATGAGAGAAGAGAATTTCTAACTGGACTGCTTTGAATCTGTAGGGGGGGAATTAACAGGCTCAGGCACTAGTTAGTTTTAAATGTAATGGCAGAAGAAAAAAATACTGCTCGTGTTTGACTGAACTTTTATACTATAACAAGAACAACTTAAAAGTTTTCCCTTATCCTCCAACTTTCCAAAAAGACCATTTTCTTAAAATTCAAAATAACAATGTGAACTGTGACTTCTCCATGCTTCAACTAGGGAAAGGGGATGTTGAGTCAGACCATATTGTTTAACTCCACTTAAACAGAAAAAAACTCCTCCCAAACTTTTAAATAGTCTGACTCACTGTTTACTCCCCTCTCAGCTGAGGCTGGGAAAGTTGCAACTCACTGAGTGTGTCTACACATGCATTTACACCAGCTTACACTGACTGCACAGTAAGCAGAAATAGGCCAGCACCCATAGGCGAATGGTAGGGGGGGCACATGCCACCCCCCACCACCAACGCTGCCAGCAGCTTCTGCGGGTCCTCGCCAGCCCCATCCCCGCTGCCAGCGGCTTCTGCGGGTGCCCAACCCCGCCGCCTCAGGAGGCACCAGTCGTCCATGCTGGCACCTACATGTGCAGGTGTTAAAGTGCATTAACGTTGGGTGTGGAGTGACATGAGACTAAAGTTAGTCCCACGTCAGTCCACACATACAGTGTTATTGTGCAGTAAGGCGTCTACATGTGCTTTACTCTGCAGTAACTAACAGGGTGTAAATTTGATATGTGCATGACACGGGTATCAAATTTACACACAAGTCAGTGTAAGGCGCCATATTTACCGTGCAGTATGGACATGCACATGTAGATGCGCGCCCATACTGTGCAGTAATTTTGGTTACTGCGCAGTAAATGTGCATGTACAGATGCACCCACTGTGGCTGAAAATTATGATGTCCCTTCTAGTGTAACTCTCCAGTGATGCAAAAAGGTCTTCAGCAAAAATAAGGGTGTCAAGATTTTGCATTCTAATGTAAAACCACCACCAACAGCCCTCCCCACTCTGCCCATCCCTCACAAGGCAGTCTTTAAAAGCATGGAAAAGCAATCTGTTCAGAAACAAAAGTGCTCTTTTGGTTCACTGTTGCTGGAAGGACATTATAGCAACTGTTGATATTGACACACAAAATCCAAGTGAAAAGATAACTAGCAGAGTCTATTCTTTTAAGGGCCAGTAAAATGGGACACAGAAAGTAACTTCCTTTCTTTAAATATGGATTAATGATGAGGCACAATGGCCATGGCTATAAGCATCCTCTAACATAAAACTGAAGAAGTACATGTATGTCATTTTAAAAAAGTCTAATGTCAACACTGTCTGACATTTTATATGGTACAAATCCTCAACTACACAAACATTTAGGCAAGTGGTTAAACTCAGGCAAAGTTATTCCCATACCTAAATGTTCATCAGATGAGACCCTGTTTTGTGCTGAATTTTACATCATTTACATTATATGTACATAAGTATTTTCCAGTTTATAGTATATAGGAATATATATTAAAGCTAACTAAGCTAATACTGAAATATAAAACCAGAGCTATTCATACATGTTCCCATGCACACCTTAGACTAAAATACGTATTTTGACAACCATTTTGATCTAGCTACAAAGATTAAGATATCAGAGAAGGATTAAGACAGGGATGGACAATTATTTCATCTGGAGGGTCACTTAATGAGTTTTGGTGAGCTGTTGAGGGCTGCAAGGGTAGCCCTGCCCCTTGACAGGTGCCGCAACCCTAATCCCTGGGCCAACTGAAGTCCCTCCCCTTGCTCCAGAAGTACTCCTTTTAGGGGGAAGGGGGGGAGTTGCCATCTTAGAACCAAAAAAACCCAACAAATTATATACCAAAAAAAAACCAAAAAAAAAAAAAACCAAACATCTACTATAACATATTTTAATTTTATTTTTTTAAAATGCACTGATTTGTGTGCGATTGCATAGTATATATAGAAGCAATCACATAATAGCTCAAAATACAGTCTTATTCTTGTACATTGTATGCGTGGGAGGGTAAGGGGGTATATGTGGGGAGGGGATGATTGGGGAGTGGGTGAACGTGTGTGGTGGCATAGGAGGTAGTGTGTGGAGGGTGTGGGTATGGTGGCTGGGGTGTGTAGGTGTGTGTTGGGAAGGGTGGCAGGTGTGGTGGGGTGGGTGTATGTGTGGGTATGGTGGGGTGGGGGAGTATGTGTGGGGGCTGTAGGATAGTGTATGTGTGGGTGTGTGGTTGGGGAGTGGGATGTGGGGGAGGGTATGGGGGTGTGTGAATCCTCAGAGTCCCTGGGGTTCAAGTCCCCAGAGCTGCATGTGGTGGTAGCAAACAGGGCCAGCACCGCCTCGCCCCATAGCGCACAGGTCCTGTGCTCCTACCCAAGTCCCCTGAGCTGCATGTGGTGGCATCTTTCGGGCCAGCTCCACACAGCCCCATAACACATAGCTCCCACCCAAGTCCCTGGCTGCATGTGGTGGTAGCATGAGGGGCCAGCCCTGCCCAACCCCATAGCGTGCAGCTCCCATGCTTCCAGCTGAGTACCCAGCTGCACATGGTGGCAGCACGTGGAGCCAGCCCAGCCCCACAGCACGCAGTTCCCGTGCTCCCACACAAGTCCCTGGACCTACATGTGCTGGCAGTGTGTGGGGCCAGCCCTGCCCGGCCTCATAGCATGCAGTCTCTGTGGCCACAGGGAGTGCGACCAGCTCGCCTGCCCAAGTCCCCAGCTACATGTGGCAGCAATGAGTGGGACCAGCCTGACCCAGTCCCATAGTGTGCATTTCCACCCACTGGCCACATGTGATGGCACCATGTGGGGCCAGTCCCACCCATCCCCATAGCGTTCCCACCTGAGTTGCCAGCCACACACGGTGGCAGGGTGCAGGGCCAGCCCTACCCGGCCCCATAGTGTGCAGCTCCTATGCTCCTGCTCAAGTCCCTGGCCACATGTGGTGGCAGCACATGGGGCCAGCCCAGCCTAGCCCCATAGCACACAGGTCCTCATGCTCCAGACCCCCTCCATCCCAATGGGAGTCCCTGGCCCTGAGCCTGGTGGGGCCCTTACCTGAATTTCTATTCTCGTAGGGATGGAGGACTGGGAAACTGCCATGGGGCAGCCAGGCAAAAGCCTCTGCCAGGAAGAAGCTTCTTGTCTCCACCACATGCCCAACCTTGGGGCTGGGGGTGGGTCAGACCATGCTGGGGTGTGGGTTGGTAGCTTAGCAGCCTCCTGCACGGAGGTGGCAGCTTTCAGAGGGGCAACCGAGGGCTCAGCCCCATAATAATTCTTTTGATTTAGGGAGGAGCCCTGCGGGCCAGATGCAACCTGCTGGTGGGCCTGATCCAGCCTCCGGGCCATATTTTGCCTGCCTCTGGATAAGGACCTTTCACTGAGGATTATATTTGTTTTCTTCTGAATGTTAATCTTGAATAAAGCATACAGCTGACTCAGTGCTCTCTAGAAGCACTGTAATTCAAGTTAATAGTAAAATAGGAAGTAGATATATGAAAGCCTACAAAAATATAACGTATTTTTAAAGTTGGGTGCCTACACTTAACTATCAAGTAAATAGTCTCATCTTCCGAGTAATTAAGCCCCTGTAACTCTAAACCACTTGCATACCTGCTTGTTGGTGCTGGGCACAGACCAGGACATTCACTTCAAGTGTCTATTTTCAGGGATCTATGTTTCTTCAAAGAAAGATAGGTGGTTCTTAAACAACTTGTGCATGGGAGGGAGAGGGGAGGTAAACATACATTTTTGTAAGGGCTTGTATTGTATTCAGCAACTTCATGTGGAATACACTGTGGGAACATCTACACAAGATGTTTACTGCGGAGCTGACTAGCTCTGCAGTAGGGTCTCAGCATCGACGCGTGCAATGATATTAGGACAAAATAAACTAACTCTGCTGGAGGTTAGTACTTGTCAACACAAGTACTATCCTGTGGCAGAGTTATTTACTTCACAGCAACACACATGTAGATAGTAATGGGGCTGGCTGTGGCATAAGGGTGCTTTAGTGTGGAGTTGCCTCCTGGCTGGCCCTGCACTGAAGCACCCTTGTCCCCAGCTGGCCACTTCGCAGCACGCTGAGATGGGTCAGAGCAGCCCCAGGTTGACAGGCTGACCCCCTGGACCCTGCTAGCCAGGGCTGCTCTGACCTGGCACAACATGCTGTGGTCCCAGGTACATGTGCAAATGTGGCACCCAGGAGCAATAAACTCCAGCACAATATGCCGGCATATAGTACCGTTCGTGACAGTACTATCCTACAGCAGAGTTAATTAATTTACTGCACCCTAATGTGTGTGTGTAGACTGTGACACTTTACTGTGAAGCTAATTAGTCAATAACTTCACTGATTTCCATGAAGCCACTTACAACATTTTTACAACATCAAAACTGAAGAATCAA